TAAACTTAAATGCTATGGAATACACTTTGAATCATAATTGTGTGGAATCTCTTGTTGTCCTTCCATACTTCATTATCTAAAACATAATCTCCAATTTTGTAATATGACTTTTCAATTAAAATACTTTTAATGTAAGTTTTAAACTTTGGAAATGATAATCCTAATATATTCTCCAGAATCTTATAATAAAAACGTATACAGTACCCCATAAAAAAGTTGTTTACCTTAGTTAAACGAAATCGTGGTAACATGAGTTTGGACTTAGTTCTAACGTTAATATTATTATTATCTTCTTTCTTAATGAAATCATGTATATTTTTACGGACATACAAAATATTTGACTAAATTTACTGCGATGCTACAGTCATAATACCAATCTTCTTAAACTTTTCTCTGAGAGAAACCCGAGAACATAAACGGTACACAGAACGAATCGCTCGCATGTAGTGGCAAAGATAGAGAAAGGGATGCTTAGCTGGTTCGGACATGTACAGAGAGAATGAACGAAAGAAGATTGACAAAATAGATTTATAAGGCGAGGGTGAGTGGGCAAGTCCAAAATTACTCCACTAGTTTGTTATAATTATTAATACAAAGATCGAACACTCAGAAAAAACACTCAGAAAAAATTCCTTCGATCCGGTCGGATTCGAACCGACGTCTTCTTGCATACCGTGCCAGACGCTATACCAACTAAGCCACGGAACGAACCAACGGACCTCACGAATTTTTCTATGTGCTTGCGTCGTGTCTTTGTACTTGGTCTTTCAACGACTTTTTAGTCGTAGCGCCATCTATGAGAAATTTATGAAAGATTTATCATCTAGTTAGTACCTTTACAGCTACCAGTCCTGGCGAGAGATGTCGCTATTCACTGTATTAATTAAATTTTTATTGAATTGATATTCAATTATCTTTTGTGAAATTACTCCACTAGTTTGTTATAATTATTAATCTCATATAATTATTTGTCAATATAAGTTGAGTCTAGAGATTAAGTCTCAGGGTAATGGGTGCAGTGGCAATGCCGGTCAGATCTTTGCAATTTAAATTTCTGAGTAGCACTGCGACTGCTATGGGGAGACGTGTCGCTTACCACCAGGCGCACGACTTGTTCGCACCTTCACTTGGTATCATAAAAAAAATACGGGTAGACACAGACAAAGGTTTTAGACATAACTTGTAATACAGAGTCGGTAGTCAAAAATGAATAAAATAAGCAAAAATAGTTTATTTTTAAACTGACATGGACAGTTGAAATGAAACGCGTCTCTATGATTCTCGACAACAACGTATCGAATCCATAAATATTGTTTGAAAATTGATCTCGGCTATTCATTTTGAGCAGGTTACAAATTGTGCAGTATTTTATTTCGCAGCTTAGGAAGCGCCATGCTCCTTTCCAAGAAATATTTCTCTCTGTTTTCAGTACTACTACTGTACTGGTGACGAAAATTCACAACTTGTGGTATCCATGCTTTACCATTTCACGCTTTAATTTGAGCGACCTAAATGGCTAAACTATAAAATCTTGTTTCCAATAATTTCGGAAAATAAACGTGACCTCTTGTCCTGTAAAGAATCCGAATTGTTGGCTTGTTTGAAAAAACAAATATACGCGAGTTAGTTCCCAAAAAAAATGAAATTTCAAAATGTATAGGAAACATTTGTAGTAATCACGAAAATTTAGACGAAACCTAAGATTTTCGTTAAAGTTTATTTGTTTATCTTTACGTTAACAAAGGTATCTCGCTATGGAACTAAGTCTACGCTATGTCACAATATTCGATTTTGAAACTTAACCCCAGTATCTTGACCACCAATAGAAATTCTGTACGTATCCGCTAATACGTTTGCAAATATGTAAGTGTTCTGAATAACCTCTAACGTCGGTAAAGACTAAAATATGTTCATTTCCTTTTTGTAAAGCAAAACTTCCGATCCCGTATATCAGACCCCGGTGCAATAAAGGGGCCCCCGACTGTACTCCTACAACATCGAAATCGTTTTTTATGCAAATAAATCTTCCCCATTCTCTGGGAATATAAAAGTCACAATCCACTCGAGTGCCGTAACCATACCAGTCAACCTCTAATTGGTTCATTTTTTCCACATGATCTTGGTCCACAAAGCCGAAAGCGGCCACTGTAAAAAACGATTTAAGTAGGCCATGATGTGGTCGGGCTAGGTACGTGCTGAACGCCGTCCGGTACGTTGCATTGCTCGCTTCTGGGCCAAAGTGTCCATACGTCGCCGGGCAAAAGAGTACAAAAAGGTCATGTACTGGACAATGATGCCCATCCAATCCAATTGACATCCAAAATTTTTTTCTTTCTATTCGGTAAGGCGTAATTCCACATGTGCAATAATAAGATTTACCTGGATACCAATATCCGTAAATACCGTAAACCATAACTTCATACAAATTGGTTTTCAAGTACATTTCTCCTACAGTGGCAGTTGTAAGCACAAGATCTCTATCAAAAAGTATGCCTGCTCCTGATGATTTTCCACGAACCGTAATAGCAACAACAAAATCGTAATGGTCATTTCTACCCAGCCACGAGAATGAACTATCAGCAACTGTGACATCGGCAAAACTGAATATGAAGTAGACACAAAACCTGAAATTAAAACAAGAAAGTATATGTAAATTTTACATATTAGACAATATTTTTTTATTACATTGGTACATTCAGAGAGAAGCCTTTATCAATGCCTATTTTCATCTTTTAAAGGAAGTAGTGCCAGGTTTCTGGTCCGGAGGCAATAAGGTGAACTGACAGTAAGGCATAAACCTTCTCCGCAGCCCCTAAGCTGTAGCGTCCGTACAATTTTTACTTTTATTGTTACACTCATCTCTCGCGCTGCCTAAAAAGTTCTTGTGTATATGAAATATCTGATAACGAGGGTCTCGGACGGATGGTGCTTGATTGGCAGAATATCTGGCACGGATTGCCTAACGGTGCTGGTTCGCAGCCAGTCACATCGAATGAATTTTTCTTAGTGTTTCGACTTTTGCTATAATAATTATAACAAACTAGTGGAGTAATTTCACAAAATATAATTGAATATCACAAAACATCAATAAACGTACGTAATAAGACGACAGTCTTTTTTGCTTAACCCAAAAAAAGTGACATTCGAACTTTCGTTCGTAGCGGACTCCAAGTTTGACTATGTGAAATTATAGAAAATGTTTCAACAAATTTATTTTCTTATGTATGTTTTTTTACACATTCATCCCGCACTAGTGAAACCCTGTACCGCGGGTGCCATGTACCTAGAGAACCAAAAATGTAGGCCATACAAATATTTCTCCCGGCCCGGGCATCGGACCTGGGACATCTGCGGGGCAGACCAGCATGGTAACCGTTCGATCACGGGGGCAGTTTATTTTATGTTATGTCTAAATATAATATATATCTATTTAGTGGACAAAAATGTTCCTTGACCAAAGAATCTTGACGCAGCTTTTCCAAAAAATATGGAGATGCTTTTAAAAGTTTTAAAATACCTCTATAATATTTTGAATACACTGTTTTCTGTTACAATACAATACAATACAAAAATTCTTTATTGTACACCAAAAAAGGAAACAAATACAATACAATTAAATTAAAAATAAGCGGTGGTACAATGGGCGGTCTTATCGCTTTAAGCGATTACTGCCAGACAACCTTTGGATGGAAGTAATTATATAATTCACAGGAAAAAGACGGCGGTGTATGAAGAATTACTAATCAACAGATAAAAATTGATAAATAAATGCAAATATACATATATTTATAAATAAATAATAAAACCAATACACATATGTGAATATCGTAAACTACTATATATTCTTATACTTACAAATATAAAAATTTCTAAAACGTAATTTCAAAACATAAAAATACCTAAGCAGTCCAGGTCACACTAAATTAAGGTAGTGTATTATTACATCAATCAAGTCACATAAAACGCAGAAGACGTGGTTAAATTCATTTTTAAATATTTTAATTTATTTAAAAGGTACGTAGTCTAACTCAGACGTGGCCAGTTGCTCTGCCTCTGTTTAGCGATCCTACAGAATGTTTGGCGTCTCTAAAGTATTACGTAACAAATTTCTCTGTTTCTTTCTAACATCTATAACTTTAATATTATTCAATGAGATTTGATTTTGTTTTCAAATCAAATAAAATGTTTCCATTTAATTTTCGATACTTATCGAGAAGCCTTATAAACTACTTAAAAATAAAATTTACACAAAATGGTTAACCTGAGAACTACATCCTATTTTAATCGGCTTAAAAATAGAATTACTTACAAATATATACGTGAGTGGTCGTCCATGATGATTAATAATATAACATACTGTAATATTGTGAAGACTGCGACTTCTTTATATACTGTGATCTCGCATAATTACAAGAAAATTTTTAAACATCCTTTGGAATGTCAATAACATTTGAAGTAAACGAAGAGCCAGAAATAATACACTGTTACCAATAAATCAATCACACTTAAAATATTTGTCTGCATTTTTTTCAAACGTCTCATTAAAATTACAAGATAATGTAACACTTCTTATGCTCTAAATACATCAACACAGCCTTACGTAGCTGGAGTAAAGGGCATCGTTTAATTCCTGGGGAGTCAAAAGTACAGTACCCGGCGATAAATATTGCACATCGACATTTGGAAAGAGACAATCGGCTAATTTCGGCTTCGTAGAGCGTTATCTCTGTCGCACGAAATACAAACAGTCCGGTATCTATTAGGAGCTGTTAAACAATTTTAATTTGCTTCTTTTAATAATTCTTTTTATTCTTTGTATAAAATACACCAATTTTTCTATAAGTGATGGCTTTAGGTTCGGGGAAAATAAAATAAAAAAAATATGTTCACATTATGTTTACGTATTTAATTACTTTGGAAAATTACAGCTGTAGTGTACATAATAAACACCATTGTACCTATTGTTAAAGTGAGACATTGTAATAAAAATAATAATAATTCTAATTCTCAATTACTTCCATTTCACTATCTGTGCTCTCAAAGAGGTCAATATCACTGTCACTATCAGCCGTATTTATCACTAGTCTATCAGTGTAATTGTCTAAACCGTGTTGAATGCTTCTATATTCATTCTCACATTTGATTGCGTGACCGCAAACCTTTTTCCACTCTTCAGCCCCGATCATGTTTACTTTTTCAGTCAATAACGTTTTTACTGTAGTTAAATTCATACTCACATTTCTAGAGGCTACATAGCCTTTTAGTTGAGACCATATATTTTCAATTGGATTAAAATCCGGATGATACGGTGGCAATCGCAACACAGTGTGCCCATGTTCGGCAAGTACTTTGTCCACGGAAAACTCTGTATACCTCTCCTTGTGCTGACATATAATAGCGTAAATCTGGGTTTTTGTTAATTTTGGATCAACTGGAATTTCGTGTCTGTTTAACCAGTTGATCATTTCCTGTTTAATGGTGTTTGAGTTGGGGGGTATTTCAACATATTTATTGTGATAAGGTGCGTTGTCGATAACTAGAACGGAATCACTGGGTATATTTGGGATTAATTGATTAACCAGCCATTTCTCGTAGTTATCGTTATTCATTTCATTGTGATAGTCACCTGTAGTATCCGTGGATTTATACGTTAAAAAGGCACCGGGTACAAAGCCTTTTTCATTTCGAGCCTGAACTATTATCAAACGTTGACCTTTTGAAATTGGCTTTTTTACTCCTTTTTTCTTATCATCACTCCAAGATTTCCCTTTAGTGTGGGATGTATGTATGTAAGACTCATCCATGTAGACGATATTTTTTCCTGTTTCGCGAAATTTGCGTATTTTATCGAGGTATTCCATTCGTTTGAGACTTACATCGTGCTTTTCCATTAAAACTTTTCGATTATCTTCCATTTTAGTAAACCGAAATCCCATCTCGTGAAGTATTTTTCTCAACGTCTTTTCAGACCAATTGTAATTAATAGCATCAGATAATTTAGCTTTTAATGATTTTATTGTTGGCAGTTCATTAAATCGTAAGTGAAAATCATACACCATTCTTCGTACAACATCATAATCAAAATCGTCCATATCCAAACGAAATAGCTTTTTTGGTCTCCCTTTTTTGGAGTGCTAAACTTAATTTCAGTAGAATGTGTTTCAGTACTGACTTCGTTTAATATATTGTTCAAAGTTCTTCTTGAAATTCCAGTGGCATTTGCAACTCGCGCTTGAACCTTCTTAAAATAACAACTTACAGATGTTAAACAACGACTGACAAAACGTCACGTAGGTAGTGTGCGACAGAGATAACGCTCTACGAAGCCGAAATTAGCCGATTGTCTCTTTCCAAATGTCGATGTGCAATATTTATCGCTGGGTACTGTACCTAGTTTTTTAATTTACTTCGAGTGACCTAGACAAACTCAAACAGCCAGTTTTTAAATCTAGTTTGTGCAAAAAGATGAAAGTTTAACAAATCAAACAAATTATTACTAAAACAAAACTTAAAAATAATCACAAAAGCAAAAAAGATAATTTTCTCAAATATGCTCCGAAATGTTTGCATTACTTTCAAAAAACGAACACGAAGTTTGTCATTAATGGACCGTGCGACTTCTTCCCGGCCAAGGCCTGCAAAGTTAGTATGAAAATCCATTACTGTCCTCTTCTCTAAACTTTTAAATGTACCTACTAACTAATAATGAACTATGTAAACAGGCAAAAAAAACTCATACAGCCAACTGCCCTGTGTTCATAACTGACTTTGACGAGAATTAAAAATACATAGGTATTTTTAGGTGTTACCACCATTTTCTTTTTTTTAAGTAAACACTAAATATTTTTTTCTGAGTGTTCGATCTTTGTATTAATAATTATAACAAACTAGTAGAGTAGTTTCACAAAAAATAATTGAATATCAATTCAATAAAAAATTAATTAATACAGTGAATAGCGACATCTCTCGCCGGGACTGGTAGCTGTAAAGATATGTACTAACTGGGTGATAAATCTGTGTGGCGCTACGACTAAAAAGTCGTTGAAAGACCAAGTACAAAGACACGACCCAAGCACATAGAAAAATTCGTGAGGTCCGTTGGTTCGTTCCGTGGCTTAGTTGGTATAGCGTCTGGCACGGTATGCAAGAAGACGTCGGTTCGAATCCGACCGGATCGAAGGAATTTTTTCTGAGTGTTTTTTCTGAGTGTTCGTTCTTTGTATTAATAATTATAAACACTAAAGTGTTTCGGTATTCTTTTGCTTTTCGTCTTTTTTGTTTTTTGGTCGCCAAAATGGGTGCTAGTGAGAAGAGCGATAACGAAAATACATTAATAGATACACAATCAAACGCATCATCAGAAGTTCAGCAGACTACTATTAACGTGTCTGGATAAACAATAACATTTTGTTCTTAGCGATTGTCCTAACACGTCAAATATTACTTTTAATATACACATATGCATTTTCCTATCTTTAGTATTTTATTATTTCCGCACATTGTTTGAGAAAAATTCTATACATGCCTCGGCGGGAACGGGCATTGCTTGACTCGTATTAATACAAGGCCTCGCTGGCGCTCGTCTCTCATACAACTCATACTCGTCCAGCAATCCCTTACTTCCCGGCCTCTGCAATAATGTACTATATAATTTACCATTATAATTAATTCATCAAAGTATTTTCATTACGAAGATCTAAGATTACACTCCGTTTTACTTCCGCGCCTTTTCAGCATAGAAGGTGGCACCACAAGATTTTCCCGCGTTAGTGCGTTTGTGTATGGACCGTAGTAGTGATGCGAAATAGCACATAAATCGTTCGAAAGACGCTCATGATTGCCAAAGATCGCTAAACGTGGCGTTTTGTTTGTCGTGTCTGGTTGAAAAAAAAAATACCTCGAAAACTTCAGAATTTTGGTTCCTGTTTTTGGTTGTATGGCGTAAACGATTGAAATGCTTTTTTCTCGCATTTGAAGTGAAAAGTAAAGTTTTCACTTCAAGCCTAAAAACCTAATATAAACCCTCGGAGTAATAGACACCCTCGCTAATTCTCGACTAGTTAACCACCTCAGCTTGGCTCGTTTTAGTCCCTCGTTAAAAAAACATACTATTATGCAATAGACTGCCGTAACCAACGATAAGCAGTCATTCTGTAGTTTAATAAAAAATCCGCTGCATGGCATTGATCCAATTTTAGTAAACACTGAATCGCGATGTTATATGTTTTCCCTAAAATTTGACCGATTTTTTTTTTTCATGACAAATAAGGAATGCTGCTATCGTCGTAGTTCGTGTCCTGAGAAAAAAAGGCTATTCTGAATTAATCGTTCTTTTTAACCGACTTCAAAAAGGAGATGGTTCACAATTTGACTCATTTTTTTTACGCGATTATTTTTTTGTTGGAAAGAGGGTACCTCAGTCTTGGTTCCATTTAAATTTGAAGAAAATATTCCACCTCTAAAGATGGCAAACTAGGAGATCAGTTTTCGTGTACTTTCCGGTAACCGATTTCAATAAAAATTAGCAACTTTTGAGGTCGATTTTTTTAATAAAAAAAGTTATAATTGCTACATCGTTCGTTCGTACTGCTGTTACTGCATCTGCCACTATAGTATTAAGGTGAAAGAATATGGGATGTAAGTATACAAGTATGGGAGTATGGGAATATAGTATGGGATTTTACCCTAGTTGTGTTACCATAAAATATGCGTAATATAAACAGGCTACTCTTATCTGATTTGGTGTACTCGTCTAAACCTAAGAATCCATAAATATAAAGGTAGATAGTATTTCAAAACTGTCTCAGGGTGACGGGCGCAGTGGCAGATCTTTGCAATTCAAAGCTCTGAGAGGCATTGTAACTGTTATGAACAGGAGTGTAGCTTACCATCAAGCGCAAAACTCGTTCATCCCGTCACTTGATGTTATAAAAAAATCAAGTGTTGTTAGGTCAATGGTTGTTAAATAAAAGAGTTGTGTTTATATGTGTGTGTATTGTATTGTTTTCGTACAACAATAAAAGTTTTATCGATTTGACATCGGAAGTAGATGGCTTCTGATGCCCCATACTGTAGGGATGACTCAATGACGGGACTTATGTATCCCTATTTACAATAGTGTTATTGCATCTGACAGGGATAATCTTCGCGTATAGTCACTAATGGAATTGGGACAATACCCGCCACGTGTTCCGTCTACGTGTTGATCATTGCATCTCCATGTAACCTTTTTTTTTAATTAATACTCTGGGAGAGTCTTCGTACAAATATCTAAGTCAAAGGTAAATAATCTTTATATCATAGGTACGCAAATGACAATTGAAATTATTATATTGATTAAACTCTACTGCTCGTAAGGCAGATTCCCTCTAGAAGAATAAGCAAGAAACTGTAGGGGTTGCTCTTTGTAAATAAACATTTGTATACATTTATCATTTACAATATTTATTCTAAACATTATAAGCTCTTTGTTCTTACTTACTCCTCTATTTTCATAGCAGTAGAACTCCTTGTGATATGTAACCTATTTCTGCCATCAAGCAGTAATGTGAGCATTGCCCGATGCTGGTGAATTATAGGCACAAGGGACTTGTCAACTTACGTCTCAGGGTGGCGGGCGCAGTGGCACTACTCATAAGGTCTTTGAGATTGAAACCTTTGAGTGGTACTGCAACTGTTATAGACAGGCCTGCGCTTACCACCAGGCCGACGACTTGTTCATCCCGTCAATTGGATGTAATAAATTCTCATTCATTGTTAATGAAATGCCTTCCCTTTTATTTCCAATCGCAGTATCCGCAGTCATTTAAGAATGCATCATCATTCATCATTCCGCCATTCCGCCCTTCGCCTCAGTTTGCAACGCTGACGGCCATCTTGTGTCACTGTGCGACAATACACGCTCAACTCTCTGGGTGGATACGACGTAATAGATATGGCAAGCAGAAAGATAACAGAATGTACCAATACCATAAACTACGGAATACACTGGTGTACGGGTGCCACAAGTATGAAAATAATCTCTAGAAGCACTACCCAAAACACTCAGTTTATTAGGTACGTATATCTACATAGCATACATTACCTGAATGCGTGAAGAAATAGATTTCTCACAGATGGTGATACGGCAAAAAAGTCGTTAAAATCCACAAACAAAGATTTGCAAAAAGCATACGGTTTGAATGGTCTGACACTTTGTGCTGAAGGATGTTTGTTCCAATCCAGCCAGATCCAAGTAATTTTTATAAGTGTTCGATATTTGTATTGACAATTATAACAAACTAGTCGAGTAATTTCAGATAAATAATTAAATATCATGGTGGTTCAACATCGTGGCATTCAATAAAGGTAAAAATTGTAGCATACATTGTTGCAGAGGTGGGGTTTTTGGCATCGCCGTAGTTGGGCAGAGTGTTCATGAAAATAAAAACGAACGTTTAAATGTTAAAATATAAACTTTATTTTCTCATTATTTCCGTAGAATGTTATACTAAAACGTATACATTGTTTGTAATTGGTTTAACTAAGCAGTTCTGTACAGTATTCTTAAACACTGACACGTAGAAATATGGTATGTTGCAAGAGTGAAATAAAATTCTATGGGCTAATTTTGTACACACGGTGACACGCTACAGTTCACCAACGTCACTCTCAATGACACTGAACATCGTATTTGAATCTATTGAAGCGTAAACAACAATATGCTTGACTGTACACCATAATATGTCTGCACATGTGTAGAACATTCTTAGGTATATATGAAATGAAATGATTTTTTTTTTATACAAGAGCAAGTACATATACA